CGTTCCGAGGTCTTCCACAGATTCACAATGCCCTTATTGCATACGTATTCCTGACTTTATTCTGCCAATATCTGCCGTTAATATCTGCCTTCAATTGCTGTACAATTTTAGAATAATTATTACCAGACTCCTAGTCGACCGCAATACCCCACATCAACAACGACCCAAGTACTTTTAACTGTACACCTTCAATGCCCTCTCATGAATCAGCGGGATAACTAATGCCCAAATTTTGTGAGTAATCTCACCTTTAAAGCCGGCTTGGGCAGTAGTCAACTCGTGCCTCAGGAAGGGAACCAAGAACGATGCAATCAGAATCTCAGCGGAGCCTCCATTTGTGGTATCGCGTCGAATGCTGGTGGGTATTGCTGTCAATCAAGGAGTCCGCTTAGGCTGCACCGTGTTTAGAGGCTTTTATTAATATCACGAGGTTACAGCATAAGTTACAGACCTGCGGTGTCTGGAGAAGCCCCGTCCCAAAATTAATCTGAATGCTTCTGACTTCTCCTTTGTCTAACCCATACTTATAAACAATGGCAATAAATGGGTTTGCTCCCTTTTTTCGTCCAATCACCGGTCTCCCCCTGGGGCGTCACCCTCCAACTGCTACATTCAAACTAAGATAAACAGTTTTTCTTTGTCCCTCAAGACTAGTCATAATCTTCATACACGACAAAACTTACTGGGGAGAAATAAGATGTAACATTGGAAAAATAATGGGTTTTGACATCAAACAAACATTCATTCTTTGTATTTGGATGAAATACCTGATAACTTACACAATAGAGATAAGTACCTGTTGAAGGGTCTACTGGCAGCCAGTAAAACGGCTATAAATCCTAGCAATTGCTTTACAAAAAGACCCGTGACACATGATAGAACATGGGTTAATGAAATACATTATATGACAAAGACCCCTTTGCTTTAAAAAAACTTAATGAGAGAGAGCCAGGATACTGGGAAAAATGGTTTTCGGTACTTTAAATTTGTCTATATTCCTAATATGAGTTTACTGTAACTCCTCTGATACTTATGAAGTGTTCTGTACCTGCCAGAATCGGTTTTAATTATTTTATTGTGTTTTTCAATAAAAACAGGTAAAAAAACGTTATTTTCATGAGTAATTTATCAAATGTAATTTCTTTCATCAGACGATTATAGTCCGGGACACAAAATGCTGGGTTGTTAGTTTTATTTTTGGATCCTGTTGCCCCGTTGTGTGGTAACTTACGTATTTGTGTCCTCGTAATTCTGTGATATGTTTCTCTCTCTACATTTTTTTTTTTGCAACAAAACCGATGTTTTTTTCCCCCCCCCTTTGATTTTTGGGGGCCCCCTTGTAAATTACAAAGCACTTTCAGGATGTTGATGACGTCGGGGTTTAAGAGCCCCTTCCACGGGCCCATGGTTTTAAATGTCAGGCCAACGTTTGTTCCATTTGCCGATAACCTCGAAATACCCTTTAAACTAAAGGTTACTATTTCACATATAAACCGGGTGTAAAAACTTTCATAGCCTTGCTGCCCTTTTTCTCCCCATTGTACTACTCTTTTATTTTCCCTTTTTGGAAATTTTTTTTTAGCCTAATACCATATACCTTTGGGTTTCCCCCCCCTTTTAATTATTAATAAAACCTAAAAAACCCCCAAAAAAAAAATCAAAAAAAATAAAATAAAAAAAATTAAATTTAACTTTTTATTCAAAAAATTTTTTAATTAAAATAAACAAAATCAAAAAAAAAAATCATTAAACTTTTTATTAAAAATTATTTTCAAAAAAAATAAAAAAATCAAAAAAAATAAAATCAATTTAAAATCAATTAAAATTATGAATAATTAACACCAATCTTTTATTTCTACACCTATCTTACCAATTTATCAATTAGTGGCCCCACTTACCTTAACCCATCCGGAAAGTGAATACCAGTAGTCAATTTCACAGCAATCCCAAAAACAACGACTTCCAATCTACAACCTTACCACACTAATAAATTCCATTGTTTAATATGCATCCAAGTATCTTAATTTCACAGAATAATGTCAGTACCTGCTTTCCAACTGAACCCCTAATCAAGCCAAGTAATGCACAGAGACTCCAAAATGCAAATTTTATTCAAATGATCAGTCTATTGCCAAGCGTCTGAGAAATTGTCATAACATCCAACATCCTGTAGGGGAAGATTTGTAGACAAAAAAGCACTGGCCTGATTTTGACTGATCCTCTGCCTGCGTCACACCTTGTCACGTCACGCACACGTTAGCCCCTCCTCTCTCTCTCCTTTGCTCTCGTCCTATCGCCTCTCATATGACAAGGGAACAAAAACGGTACAGACAAGCATTTAAAGTTTATACACTTAACCAAGGTATCCACATTCAATATTCCCCCACTCATATTCGTTACTAAATAGATCGCTCAAAAACATTTTTATTTTATTTTAATCCGTCATTTAATTTAATTCATTATACTCCGTCAACATATATTTAATTTATAAATTCACTACATCTCAACAAATAGTTTCATGTTCGAACAACAGTCACTTTAACGATTTAGAAGATTCGTGTCCAAATACCCCTTATCTGTGGCTATTTCTCCCCCTGCAGTGTAACCCCACAGAAATATGACCCTTTACCCATCCCGTGTTGTAGCTTTAGCAAATCACCTCGTGTCGCAGTTTTAGCGCCGTAAAATCAAGCGCACGCGCAAATCCATTTAACCCTATGATTGCCACACAATAGAACGCCAGCGTTCTACCTCAGTTCTCTATTTTACACTTATAGTCAGACAATTACACATAACAGAGCTCACATTTGCGTAGAACTCTGAATTCCACACACACAGACATATTTTAAGAGGCTTTAATCCATCGCAATGGCCCTCTAAGGACACGTTAGCATGTAGCACGCAACACAATTAGCCTTAGCATTTAGCATTAGCCGCTATGTACAATGTAGCATGAAACCCAATCTAGCATTTAGCATTAACATTAGCCTTAGCCTTTAGCTAACTGCGGCCTACCACGCCCTAAGTAACCTTGCATTGTGCCTAAATCATTGTCCATTTATCCCCTGCTAACTTTATGCTGCCGTGAGTTCTGGATAATTATATGAGCGGTTACCCCAAACAAATACCCCCGTCGACTACAAGATGAGCATAACTTACAATATAACCGTCCACCTCATAGTTCCCAGAACCAACCTGACAACACACCTAGCGCGTTGCAAGGATTTATGGCCCACTCCTAAGGAGTCGCCTCGTTCCGAGGTCTTCCACAGATTCACAATGCCCTTATTGCATACGTATTCCTGACTTTATTCTGCCAATATCTGCCGTTAATATCTGCCTTCAATTGCTGTACAATTTTAGAATAATTATTACCAGACTCCTAGTCGACCGCAATACCCCACATCAACAACGACCCAAGTACTTTTAACTGTACACCTTCAATGCCCTCTCATGAATCAGCGGGATAACTAATGCCCAAATTTTGTGAGTAATCTCACCTTTAAAGCCGGCTTGGGCAGTAGTCAACTCGTGCCTCAGGAAGGGAACCAAGAACGATGCAATCAGAATCTCAGCGGAGCCTCCATTTGTGGTATCGCGTCGAATGCTGGTGGGTATTGCTGTCAATCAAGGAGTCCGCTTAGGCTGCACCGTGTTTAGAGGCTTTTATTAATATCACGAGGTTACAGCATAAGTTACAGACCTGCGGTGTCTGGAGAAGCCCCGTCCCAAAATTAATCTGAATGCTTCTGACTTCTCCTTTGTCTAACCCATACTTATAAACAATGGCAATAAATGGGTTGCTCCCTTTTTCGTCCAATCACCGGTCTCCCCTGGGGCGTCACCCTCCAACTGCTACATTCAAACTAAGATAAACAGTTTTTCTTTGTCCCTCAAGACTAGTCATAATCTTCATACACGACAAAACTTACTGGGGAGAAATAAGATGTAACATTGGAAAAATAATGGGTTTTGACATCAAACAAACATTCATTCTTTGTATTTGGATGAAATACCTGATAACTTACACAATAGAGATAAGTACCTGTTGAAGGGTCTACTGGCAGCCAGTAAAAAGGCTATCACTAGCAAATGGCTACAAAAAGACCCGTGACACAATGGATAGACATGGTTAATGAAATACATTATATGGAGCATAAGACCTTTGCTTTAAAAACTTATGAGGAGAGAGGCCAGGAATACTGGGAAAAATGGGTTTCGTACTTTAAATTGTCTAATTCTAAGATGATGTTACTGTAACTCATCTGATAAATGTATGAGGTGTGCTGTACCTGCCAGATCTTTTTATTTTTTATTGTGTGTTCTTCAATAAAAACAAGGTAAAAAAACGTTATTTTCATTAGTAAATTTATCAAATGTAATTCTTCAATCAGAAGATATAGTCCGGACAAAAATCTGGTTGTTAGTTATTTTGGTCATGTTGCCCAGTTGTTAATTAGTTTTGAATAGTTTCTATAGACGGGTTGGTTGTTTAGCAACAAAACCGATGCTTGTGCAACTATGGGGCAAAACAGATGGGGTTGGCTTAGACTGTTGACTAAACTATATTTAGTCTCCAAATGTTTATTGAAAACATCAACACAGTTGCACAATGAGCAGTTGTTGTCTCTCAAATACATTGTTACAGTTGTTGGTTAGCTAGCTAGCAAATTTTAGCCGTATTAGCATAGACATGTTGAAACTGTCACTGGCTAGTGACGTTGTTAGCGTTAGCTAGCTAACATTAGCTTACTAGCTAACTTTAGCATGCTAGCTAACGTTAGTTAAAAGAGACCAAAGTGGACCTTGGTTAATACTTTCCTTGTGTGCCTTTTTCTGCAAATCATTCATCGTTCTGTTTGTGTCTAACAACGTTAAACGTCAAACATAGGTACTAGCTAGCCACCTAGCTAGCTACGTTCTGCATGTACATTTACCCTTTTCTCAATATTGTATTATGGTAACAACATGATGTTATACTGGAAACCTGCCTTTTATCTATGTACGTGGGTGTGTGTAATAATGTGTACATCTCCCGCCAATGCGACACGTCAAGATGCGATCCCCGCTTTGAGAAGTTTCTGGAGGAGGTGACCCGCTACACACCTCGCTACATGTCGGAGATGGAGTCTATCTTTAACCAATCACAGAAGGAGGGGAGGAAGAGGATCAGCAACGGACGTCACCAAAAATGAGTGGTAGGCTACACCTGCAGTCAGACTGTTACTATGAGGGTGTGCGTGGATGTGGGTGGTCTTTCTCTATCTCATCTCTCACTGATCATTTCTGTCATGCCCTGATCTCTCACCCCCCCGCCCTCTCTCTCCCTCCCCTTTCTATTTTTCTCTCTCCCCCTTTTCCCCCTCTCTCCATCTCTCTCCAAGTGTGAAGGCTGTGTTTAATGAGCTCCTCAACTCTCATGGCCATCAATGAGCAGGACAAACTGAGCTGGTGGAAGAATACCCACAGACCGGGCATTCCCACTGACTGGCCTCAGTTACAGGTGCAACACACACACACACAGCGGGCTAATGGAAGTTAATGGGGCCTAATGAAGTGTACTGCAATATGGGATAATGTAGACTTCAGCCCCTTTGTTACTGTCAGAGTTTGTCTAATGTAGTGAACAGTGTTACAAGCTAATATTGCAGACTGTATAACAGTAGTGTATGGTCAAACAATCAATTCCTAATTACTGATTGGTTTGTTAATTGTTTGTAGATAGTTAGTGTTATGTCTCCTTTCTCTCTCTCTCTCTCTCTCTCTCTGTGTGTGTGTGTGTGTGTGTGTTTGTGTGTGTGTGTGTGTGTGTGTGTGTGTGTGTGTGTGTGTGTGTGTGTGTGTGTGTGTGTGTGTGTGTGTGTGTGTGTGTGTGTGGATGCATTCACAGACACAGCGATCAGCTTGTTGGGAGTGAACTGGGAGGACAGTGCTGTAGCAGTGGGACAGAGGAGACGGCAACAGGGAGAGCTTCGTCCTGAACCCTATAATACGAATCAGGTTTGAGAAGTTAGTAAGGTAACTTAGGTCAACTCTGAGTTCAACTCGGGATAACCGGTACCATGAAAGTGTGCTCACCTTTTAGCCAGGTACATTTCTATGGCAACAAATCCTTCAGCACTAACCTGCTCCGGGACAGGCTAACTCAGGGCAAACTCAATTTATCCTGGATTAAGTGTCTGAGCCATGAAAACCAATGAAATCATATTGCAAAGATTGTCATCATCCCTTTCATTTGAGGAAGGCAACTGATTAAATATTTTATTAATCAAATGTTTTTTGTGTGTAAAAAAAGTTAAAATACCTATCACATTACACATTTAGTAAGGACAGCATTTGCTTTCCAAACTACAGGCAGCCATTACTAGTGTATTCATGAGTCCGGTCTGGCCCCGCTGGCTGGAGCTGGACCGGACATCGTTGAAGCGGACCGCTTAGGCTCCGGTGTGGAGCAGCTGACTGGTACCTTACCAGGCACCAGTGACCCAGGCACGGGTTGTGCGGGACTGACGACGCGCACCCCTGGCTTGGTGCGTGGAGTAGGAACGGGCCGGACCGGGCTGACGATGCACACCCCTGGCTTGGTGCGTGGAGTAGGAACGGGCCGGACCGGGCTGACGATGCGTACCCCTGCCTTGGTGCGTGGAGTAGGAACGGGCCGGACCGGGCTGACGATGCGCACCCCTGGCTTGGTGCGTGGAGTAGGAACGGGCCAGACCGGGCTGACGATGCACACCCCTGGCTTGGTGCGTGGAGTAGGAACAGGCCGGACTGGGCTGACGAAACGCACCACTGACTTGGTGCGGGGAGCAGGAATGGGCCGGACCGGGCTGACGACGCGCACCACTGACTTGGTGCGGGGAGCAGGAACGGGCCGTGCCGGGCTGACGAAGCGCACCACTGACTTGGTGCGAGTGGCAGGAACAGGCCGGACCGTACTGGGAACACACACCACTGGCCCTACGTGGGGATCAGGAACAGGCCGGACCGGACTGGCAACACACGCCAGTACCTCTCGCCGTGCCTCTACATCCTCCTTCCCCCTGGTGACCAGTGACTCCCGTAACCTGGCGGCCTCCTGCTGCCCCGTCGTCCACGGCGTTAGGCCCCCCCTAAAAAATGTATGGGCTTCACTCCTACCCGTGGCCAAGGCCTCCATCCCTCTTGCCAGACTCGCACTCATCTCCTCCCAGGTCCATCCTCTCTCCTCGTCACGCTGCTTGATCCAGTCGAGGTGGGATCTTCTGTCACGATCGTCTACCAAAGATGAGGAGGCAAACATACTCTTTAATTAGAGACACGATCAAAACCACAAACGATGCGTGACAGTTCACGGTCGAACATAAACAGACTTGAAACAAGATCCCACAACATTTGTGGGAAAATAGCCTCTATAAATATGGCTCCCAATCAGAGACAACCCGCCACAGCTGACACTCGTTGCCTCTGATTGAGAACCACTCTGGCCAACACAGACATACACAGACATGAGTCCCAGAGCCAGGGTGTGACAAGATCCCCATACATTCTACAGACACTACTGATTAATTCCGACAATACTTTTACTGCGGCACCCAGAATATTTTTTGTCTATAGGCCAATATGTGATTCACATTGGGGGCATTTATATGACCTTGGAACATGTTTTAAAACCCACATTTAATGCAAATGTCACTTAAATACGAACAAATATGAATCATTGTTAATGTTTAGACAATTATTTTTCATGTATCATTAATAAATACAGATTTTTTACACTTTAATACTTTATTTGACACTTTGACACTTTATACTATTATGTGGGGGTCTTATAGTTAGGAAATCTCTGAAATTCCGTGTAGCGGAAGTACTTTTTTTAGTGTTGGTGATGAGACGCTGATCATGTGACGAGTTCGCAAATCAAATGCCCAATTGTGGTTCCACTGGACAGCGAAAAACAAGTAAGTTAACGTTACTTATTGTAATTAAAATTCGTTTGTAGTAGTTCATTGATGAGTTAGATTACATATTGTAGTCATTGTTTCAAATAATTTTGGTGACTTCACAGCAATTGCTAGCTAGCTAAAATCTAGCTAGCTAGCAGGCTCAGCTAAATAAAAATCCCCTTAGATACATCAACGTCTCATAGTCATGTCATGAGATTTGTAAATGAAAGAGGAATATAATAATATGAATCAAATTGAGTTTCCCATCTCCCCATTTAGTTTCTGGCGCAGCACAGAAATGCCCTTATCCAGATGGTGTGACAAAGGTATTTCCTAACAGACTTCCTAACTTTCTTTGTTGCTACTTTTAAGGTTGGAACCAACATGCAGTACCTTTAGCAGGCAGAGAGGCAAGAACCATTTGTCTGCCAGCTCAGGGAAAAGCAACACTATTCACAGTCCTGTGTAATGTTCAATGTAATTGCATTTCTGGAAGTTTGAAACTTAAAGTATTTGTATTGTTTTAACACATGGGTGTGATCGTTCTACAGTGGTTCCTGCAGCGTATGCTCAAACCGGTATGATTAGAACGCTTATTGATAACGTCCAGTTATGACTGACGGAACAGTCAGTGTTTGAGCTGGCCACACTGTTTTTTTCACAGAAACATTTTGCACAAACACAGTCCTTACAACGTTATGTCCTGAATGTGGCCAGTTTATTTTTTGAAGCAATTTTCAGACATTCATAGAAGTAGGGACAGCATAACACAATCATCCAAACTGGAAAATATAGGCTACATTAGTCACAGCGCAAACTGAGCAAAGATTGACGAAACACAAATGGTCATATTTAGCTAACTCTCGGCTGACAGAAAACATCATACTAATTAGCTAATAGAAATCCCAATTTACAATTTATCACATCACGGGTGAGCTCACCATTGATCAAAATAATTTAGTAACACACTTTCTAGAAATCAAAAGTAATCCGATGATGTGTAGTTTGTGCACGACGCCATGTTTTTTTTTCTTCCATGTCAACCAGAGATGAGAAGAGACCAGATGAGTTTGCAGTCACTTCCGGAAGTTTACTCGAAAGATGAGTGAACCATCCGTTCACCTCATTTTGTTATAACATCTTTGGTCCGACAGATGTTTACGTGACACCCAGAATGCATTGCATGATGTCAACAAAAATGGCGCCACACATAACTGGCAAATAGCTTAGCATTAGCTCATCATAACCAGTACAACCTACAAAAAAGTATTTTACACACATCATATCCATTACAATCCATGCAAGAATAGGAATGCATGATTTGTCACCAGTACTTGAAAACATGTTTATAAAACAGTAAATACATTATGCTCCATACATACATACGGTATGCTACAGTAGAAACGACAACACGATATACAGAAAATAAGGCACTTACTTTGAAATGAACGCACACATGTCCAAAGTTATTATTTGTAAGGAAAACAACAAGGAAGGCAATGCGGGCGCCAGCCGGAAAATGTGCCAGTGGGAAAGAATTGTGCAAGGCCTGTTCTGATTGGAGATGCGCAAAAAAAAACACTGGGGAAGTGCTTGGGCTCTCCTCGAAGAGAGAAGTTTGTCTGGCTCAGTAAAGCCTTAAACATAAATTGCCTGCAACAGTGAAATGGGCTACTTCTTATGTGAATTAATGAGGAGGCGGAACACACCTCAATTCAAACTGTTGTTAGAAAATAAAACTTGTTAGAAAATAATTTGAAATTGAAAAGTTGAAAAATAGCCTATAGATAATTAGCAGGCAGCGTGCCTTGGTTTGAGGGCAGCGCAGGATAACTGTCCTGTTGCGTAACAATCACATTTTGGAACAGTGCATTCTGACATCACGTGCATAAAAATAACTCTCGCTGGGGCGACCGTTCGAGATCTTTGGAACTCAAGCGTGAAAAGGTTTGGAGTAGTCCAACCTGAGACCACCGTATTCCTCTTCTGTTCCCATGCTGGAGACCAGGGCTCGATTACAACCTGTTACAATGGTGCCAACTTTTTGTGGCTGATCTTTGAGCGGGGGAGTGGGTGAAATTGTCAAAGACCTGATGGGCCCAACACCGCACGGTATGGCTCGTTTTTGTTGTGTGCGTGTTTGTGTACTGAGGAACATGTAACTTGGTTCCAGAAGAAAGACACTTTCAATTTCTTTAGGTTGAGGGCTTTCATCAAGGTAAGTGTTTCTTGGTGTAGCGTCGTCCCCAGGCTATTGCACACACAGCACATATAATACTGGGATATCAACCATTCAAATTTGGATTTAGTGGGAGTTACCATAGAATTCTATAGGAGTGACCTTATTGAGTAAAGTATTTGTCATCGTCACTAGTTAACACAGTAAGAAAGTCATAATTATGGCTAAACTCTGCCCATTTCCACAATTTACCTACTTAAAATTAGATTTTAAACCTAACCCTAACTAATGAAAGCCAAGATTGATGCGTTACACACATTTGGACGGAAGTGTCAGGGAACGAGATTAGGTGTAACGCGACTAACATGAATTCACTTTAGAGCATATTCCAATCCTTCGACCCAACATGTCACCCTTTATAAAGCACATGTTTATATCATATTCGACATATTGGGTTATGTCACATTTGACATTTGTGATTATGTTGCACAGTTATGCCACGTTTATGAACCCTTTAAAAAGGATGACATACATTTATAGATGCTTTGTAACACATTTGTAGTGCTTATGAAGGCATTATGAAGGCTTTATGAAGCCTTTATAAGCTGAACATCATTTAAAACGGGACCGCTTCATTTTTAAGAAGTTTCAGTGTTGCTACAGTTTGCAAACAAAGTAATTGTGACACCATTTTTCAGCCGATCATGTGTGACACCAATCAGGCCCCAGAGGGCTGGAGTACCACGATGAGGATGACCAGATTGAGATGGAATCAACAGAGTCAACGCAAGATCCAGCTTGATCTGAGACAGGGCTCTCCAGGAGATCTACCGTGTTGTAGGGTTTCTCCAACCCTAATCTAGTGCACCTGATTCTAATAACTAGCTGGTCGATAAGCTACATGAAAGTAACTCTCCAGGAGATATGAACCTCCTCCTAGTTCCCCTCCCTTTCCTCTTGTAACCTCTCTCCCTCTACTATAGCCATTTTGTTGATTGGTGTCACGATCGTAATGAAAAGCGGACCAAGGCGCAGCGTGATAAGCGTACATCTTTTAATGAGTACTTTACAAAATAACAAAACAACAAAACGATACGTGAAGTCCTAGGTTAATACACCAACACAAACCTTACGGAACAAGATCCCACAATTAACTAGTGCCAACAGGCTGCCTAAGTATGGTTCCCAATCAGAGACAGCGAGAATCAGCTGCCTCGGATTGGGAACCACCCTGGCCAACATAGAAAACACGAACTAGAACAAAAACATAGAAACTACAACATAGACACTACACACCCTGGCTCAACTTTTAAGAGTCCCCAGAGCCAGGGCGTGACAGTACCCCCCCCCCCCCCCCCCCAAAGGCGTGGACTGTGACCGCGCCAACCAAACACAACAAGGGAGGGGCCGGATGGGCATTCTGCCTCGGAGGCGGATCCGGCTCCGGGCGTGACCACCACTCTCTCGCTACCCCCCCCCCGTAGCGCCCCTGGTCTGGTCTGGCCCCGCTGGCCGGAGCTGGACTGGACACCGGTGGAGCGGATTGCTCAGGCTCCGGTGTGGAACAGGCACGGGCTGTGCAGGACTGACGACGCGCACCACTGGCTTGGTGCGGGGAGCAGGAACGGGCCGGACCGGGCTGACGACGCGCACCACTGGCTTGGTGCGGGGAGCAGGAACAGGCCGGACCGGGCTGTGGAGACAGACTGGAGGTCTGGAGCGAAGAGCTGACACAACCCGTCCTGGCTGAATGCCTATTTCTACACACTCTGTGTGAGGCATCAGCACAGGACGTACAGGGCTGTGCACTCGTACTGGCACTACAGCACGTTGCACTGGCGCAGGATATCCAGGACCGAGGAGGGGTACTTTAGGCCACGAGCGTTGAGCCGGCACACTCCGTCCTGGCTGCATGCCCACCTTAGCACGACACGTGCGTGGTGCTAGCACAGGACGTACAGGACTGTGCCGGACCACTCGCGGCACAGTACGCAGCTCCGCATAACTCGGAACCTGCCCAGTCTCACGCTGCCTAGCCTGAGTACGGGGAGTTGGCTCTGCTCTACCTCTAGGCTCCGCCAACCTCCCTTCCAGTCCCCCAAACCTGGTGGCCTCCTCTCCTAATCCGCCGATACGTCCTGTAGCTGCCTCCAGCATCCCCGTCGTCCATGCCGTGTGCCCCCCCCAAAAAAATTATCGGGGTTTCCTCTCGCCTGTCCGACGACGACCCGGTTGGCGCCGCTTCTCCTCTCCTGCCTGGGCATCCTCCCTCATCGCCCTCCGGTAGCGGACGGCCTCCTCCTCCGTGATCTTCCCCCAACTGAGGAGCTGAGGGAGGATGCTGCCTAAGTATGGTCCCCAATCAGAGACAACAAGCAACAGCTGCCTCTGATTGGGAACCACCCTGGCCAACCTAGAAATACATGAACTAGAACAAAACATAGAAAATAACACATAGAAAATCCACACCCTGGCTCAACATATAAGAGTCCCCAGAGCCAGGGCGTGACAATTGGACTGAGAGGGATGTAAACACAGACAGCTTGCAGCTACCACATTTAACAATGTGTGATTCATTCACCATTACATCATTTAAAATAAAGTTAATCATCTTTGTTTCATGTTCTTGTTTGTGCTAAGGAGGTCCAGTAGGTTAATATGAATAGTACTGATGATTGTATTGCAATCATGTTGGTAAGGTTTACTTGAGTGAAATATTACATATTTTATGTTTTGTTGTAACTGATCTCATCACCTGCTACTTGCATTTCAATAGCTAAGTTCTTTAAGAATAACACCATCCACTCTAACTTCAAAGCATCTGCCTCTAACCCTAGGAAGCTCTTTGTCACCTTCTCCTCCCTGCTGAATCCCCCCCCCCCCCCCCCCCCCCCCCCCCCCCCCCCCCCCCATTTTGAAAAGAAGGTTGACGACATCCGATCCTCTTTTGTTAAGTCAAATGACACCGCTGGTCCTGCTCACACTGCCCTACCCTATGCTTTGACTTATTTCTCCCCTCTCTCTCCAGATGAAATCTTGCGACTTGTGACGGCCGGTCGCCCAACAACCTGCCTGCTTGACCCTATCCCCTCCTCTCTTCTCCAGACCATTTCCGGAGACCTTCTCCCTTACCTCACCTCGCTCATCAACTCATCCTTGACCGCAGGCTATGTCCCTACCGTCTTCAAGAGAGCGAGAGTTGCACCCCTTCTCAAAAAACCTACACTCAATCCCTCCGATGTCAACAACTACAGACCAGTATCCCTTCTTTCTTTTCTCTCCAAAACTCTTGAGCGTGCCGTCTTTAGCCAACTCTCTTGCTATCTCTCTCAGAATGACCTTCTTGATCCAAACCAGTCAGGTTTCAAGATTGGTCATTCAACTGAGACTGCTCTTCTCTGTGTCACGGAGGCTCTCCACACTGCTAAAGCTAACTCTCTCTCCTCTGCTCTCGTCCTTCTAGACCTATTTGCTACCTTTGATACTGTGAACCATCAGATCCTCCTCTCCACCCTCTCCGAGTTGGCCATCTCAGGTCGCTCCTACCAAGTGGCGTGGCGAGAATCTGTCTCCGCACCACGTGCTCTCAACACTGGTGTCCCCCAGGGCTCAGTACTAGGCCCTCTCCTATTCTCGCTATACACCAAGTCACTTGGCTCTGTCATATCCTCACATGGCCTCTCCTATCATTGCTACGCAGACGACACACAACTAATCTTCTCCTTTCCCCCGTCTGATAACCAGGTGGTGAATCGCATCTCTGCATGTCTGGCAGAAATATCAGTGTGGATGACGGATCACCACCTCAAGCTGAACCTCGGCAAGACGGAGCTGCTCTTCCTCCCGGGGAAGGACTGCCCGTTCCATGATCTCGCCATCAAGGATGACAACTCCGTTGTGTCCTCCTCCCAGAGTGCAAAGAGCCTTGGTGTGACCCTGGACAACACCCTGTCGTTCTCCCCTAACATCAAGGCGGTGACCCGATCCTGTAGGTTCATGCTCTACACCATTCGGAGAGTACAACCCTGCCTTACATAGGAAGCGGCACAAGTCCTAATCCAGGCACTTGTCATCTCCCGTTTGGATTACTGCAACTCGCTGTTGGCTGGGCTCCCTGCCTGTGCCATTAAACCCCTACAACTCATCCAGAATGCTGCAGCCCGTCTGGTGTTCAACCTTCCCAAGTTCTCTCATGCCACCCCGCTCCTCCGCACACTCCACTGGCTTCCAGTTGAAGCTCGCATCTGCTACAAGACCATGGTGCTTGCCTATGGAGCTGTGAGGGGGACGGCACCTCCATACCTTCTGGCTCTGAATAATCCTTCTACCCCCCCTTACAACCCCCCCCCCCAAAAAAAAAAAAAATAACATATTGTAAAGTGGTTATCCCACTGGCTATAAGGTGAATGCACCAATTTGTAAGTCGCTCTGGATAAGAGCGTCTGCAAAATGACGTTAATGTAAATGTATTTGTCAGAAAGTCAAGATAAGTCAGGCTAAGATGCTGCAACATCATTCAACAGCAATCTTAGTGCAGAACGACATTGCCTGGACACTTATCATTTGGGGGGAGATTTGGGCATAGAGTTGATAATACCGTCAATCAAGGTAAGAATAGAGATAGCTATAACGTTCTTCTTCTCTTTGATAAAACTGTCGCGGCATTATGCTATTGTAATTTGAGCATTGGTTTATTAAGCTAACTAGCTAGCTACAATAGAGAGGTCGATTTGATGCAACAAAATGAACGTTTGTAGCTGATCTGAGCTCATGCCTGTTAGGTAGTTTATCTGCCTTGAAGTTAATTGTGAATATGGCGGAGATAATTGAACAAAATAAGTATGTTGAGGGGCAATGTTGTCAAGGTAAAACGAGTTGGCTAGCCAACTAGCCAAGTTGTGCTATAGCTGGGCTGCTCGGATGAGACGTGAACCCAGGGCTTTATCGCATTAGTGGAAACCAAGACTGTTCTCAGAGCAGGTTTTCCGGTTTTGACTAGCAGAAGTTACTTTTTGTAGCACAGGTTAGGAGAACTTAAGCAGCAGGTTAGGACTATTAATGTGGCAGGTTAGGATAATTAGGTAAAGGTTAGGAAAAGGGTTATGGTTAGCTAAAATGTTCCCGACGTGACCCGAACATATCAAGCTACAACCAGGCCTGCTCTGAGAACAGTCTTGACTAATGTGATGCTGCTAACCCGGGAGCCTAGCTTACATTACACAGTCAACTAACGAAACAGATACCATTTCAATAAAGGCTATCTGGCTTGAATTCAATTTTGAATATGGCTTAGATGTGGCTGAAAACAAAAATATATTGCGAGTCAATGTTGTTGGGATATAACATTTGCTAGCTAGCTAAAAACTTGTGTCGCTAGCTAGCTACTATTGCTAAGATATGAAAGAGTGGCTAGGTTTCAGTTTTGCATCACAGCTCGGTACCTACAACAGATTAATCTCCAATGAGACATGCTGTATTTTTCACTTTGTATGAGACTGTATGATCGGTAATCCTAATGGTGTCTATCTTTTTCTGTTTCTCCTTCAACAAAAATGAAATAGTAGTCTGTTAGCCCCTATGTAATTAGTTAGCTTTCCTTCATTGTTTGCTGTAAAAGATAGCTGAGAAAATATCGTTTTTAATTACATCTACAACACCTTTCTTGATTATTCAAACGTAAGGCAGTGGTCATAATTAATCGTTCTCTGTGGTTCGAGTGTAACTGTTGACAACTTTGTGGAATTTCTTGGATGTCATTTGAAAAAGTGCCTATTGGATAATGCTAATAAATTAAACACCCTT